CTATCTATCTATCTATCTATCTATCTATCTATCTATCTATCTATCTAATTTGTGTGCTGCCCATCTTGTCCAAAGATGGCTCTGGGTGGCTTACAAACATTAAAACTAGGGCACATTTAGAAAAATAACAACGGTGATAAATAAAAAAAATGCGGAGAAGGGGAATACAAAGCATATGAGGAGGTCACTCAATCTCTCATTAGGTTATAGTGCTTCAGGATGTTTTTTCCCCTCTTAGATTATACCTAATAAAAATGCAGTTTCATTTCAAATATAAATTGCATTTTTTTCATTGTAATATATATAACTTCCCAGTGCTTTGGGGATGGTCGGGGAGTTATACCACCACCCCATATGATAAAAATATTCCTGTTTATGACATTTCCAACAATTACTGCATTATTTTCTATCTAGATATTGATCAATTTGTATACCATCTGTAGAACATTTTTAGCCATTTTCTAAGTTGTAATTTAGCATAAATTTTATAGATTCAGTCTATAATTATTCCCATTGTTACCATTCTTTCATTATTTGCAAAAAATAAAAATGAAGGATTTATATCAATATTAATCACACATAGACTGTTTAGTGAGTGCTATATATTTATTCATATCAGAATTATGTAATTTATCAATTTAGATCAGTTTCTCTGACTTTATGAGAGAATTAAAAAGTAAAAGGTTAAATGTACAAAATAATATTAAACACATCAAATTTCTAAATAAATTTGTGGTTATTAAAAGCAACACAGGTAATCCTCGACTTCTGACCACGGTTGAGCCCAAAATTTCTATTGTTAAGTGGGACATTTGTTAAGTGAGCTTTGCCTCATTTTATGACCTTTCTTGCCACAGTTGTTAAGTGAATCAGTGCAGTTGATATGTTAGTAACATGGTTGTTAAATGAACCTGGCTTCCCCATTGATTTTTTCTTGTCAGAAGGTTGCAAGAGATGACCTTGAGACGCATCAATGGTTGTAAGTACGAGTCAGTTGCCAAGCATCTGAATTTTGATCATGTGTTCATGGAGATGCTACAAAGGCCGTAAGTGTGAAAAACGATCATAGGTCAGTTTTTTCAGCTCTGTGTAACTTTGAATGGTCACTAAATGAACTGTTGTAAGTTGAGGCCTATCTGCATTCAGTTGCTTTCCTCACAATATTCTTTAGACCATGGGTCTCCAACCGTGGCAACTTTAAGCCTGGAGGACTTCAACTCCCAGCATTCCCCAGCCAGCTGGGGGTTGAAGTCCTCATAGACGTGAGGCTGGGGAATGCTGGGAGTTGAAGTCCTCCAGGCTTAAAGTTGCCAAGGTTGGAGACTCCTGCTTTAGGCAGCTTGAATAATTTTTTGTCCTCTTTCATCATTGTTCAGGTCCTGATTGACTGGATAAATGATGTCCTGGTTGAAGAAAGGATAATTGTCAAACAGCTTGAGGAAGACGTCTATGATGGGCAAGTGCTACAGAAATTGCTAGGTGAGATGTTATGGTGAAAATGGCGGAGAAGGGAACTGGTCTGGATTAGGGAAACGCAGACTTAAATCGTAAAACTGGTGATGCTATATGGTGCTATTTGGCTCAGAGCAGGAAGCCAACCAGTTTAATACATCTGCTTATGATCCTCATGGTATCGCTGAGTCTGGTGTCTAATTTACTATCGGTAGTGTGGCAGCTGTTAAATCATCCAGGGGCAGTTTTCTACTCTGGACTGACCAACCCTGGTGCGAATGACCTGAAAGTGGCAACTGAAGCTCCCCTCCACATAATTTCTGGAGTATGTTATTCCTAATGTTGATTTTTTTGCTGCCTTATTCTCTAGGTCAGTGGTGTCAAACTTGTGGCCACCGGATGCGTCCCGCACTGGCCACGCCCAACCCCGGTTTAGCAAAGGGGGAAAAAAAATCGCGATATGTCACGTGACGACAATGCGATGACATGGGTTGGACACTCCTGCTCTAGGTTATCTTATAGGAGAGAGTTGGGTCCAGTGTTACTCAAGGGGCTTTGTAGAATGGGATTGTATGGGAGTAAGTAGACTTTCAGGGCTTCCTGTGCTAGTTTGATGGTAGTAAAGTAGAAGCATGTAGTTATGTTTTGCTGGTGCTAGGAGTGAGCCTCCAATCAGTGAATAGTTTTCCCAAGATTTTAAGATCTTTGGACAGGAGTTGTCTGCCACCTTCATTGTTTTTGTTGGACTGCTATGGCCAAATCATCAGAGTATCACGATTTGCACTTTGTCACTGGCATATCTAGTATATTTAAGTTGACTAATGTGGGTGCCATTATAGAGCCCTGTGAATCACCACATAATGGAAAGTACCATGCCTTGCGAGTGTCCTTACTTGCATAACTCAAACTAATACAGACTGTTTAGTGTTTGTATGAGTGTTAGCAAATGAAGCTTTTAATTAAAAAACCGAATAATAAAAATTGCAAATGTTCCCCTGTTTGTAGGTGACTTAATTCTCCACCACAATTGGGATTGGGAACTCTGTTGCTACGTGAAACGGTCACTAATAAACTGTGCTTACACTTTGACTTCAGGTTTCCTTTGGTTTACCACCCTGGGAAGGTTTTAAATTAGAATAGAATTAGAATTAGAATGAATTAGAATTAGAATTAGAATTAGGAATAGAATAGAATAGAATAGAATAGAATAGAATAACAGAGTTGGAGGTCTGTTAATAATAATAGAGACCTTGGAAGTCTTCAGTTCAGCCCCCTACATAGGCAGGAAATCCTATACCATTTCAAACAAATGTTAGCCAATCTCTTCTTAAAAGCTTCCAGTGTTGGAGCATTTAAATGTGAGGATTGTCTGCAAAGTTGCTTTTTCATCACCGTCATAAATGTGAATGGTCAATAAAGGAGGACTGCCGGTAGGGCCAAAGTTGTTGCAAAGACCTTCGTAAAGACCTCTGCCTTACCTGAACAATGTTGCTGAGCCACAGTGACGCAGTGATTGGAGTGCAGTACTGCAGGCTACTTCTGCTGAATGACGGCTGCCTGCAATTCGGCAGTTCGAATCTCACCAGGCTCAAGGTTGACTCAGTCTTCCCTCCTTCCGAGGCGGGTAAAGGACCCAAAATGGTTGGGGGCAATACACTGACTCTGTAAACCACTTAGAGAGGACTGTAAAGCACTGTGAAGCTGTATATAAGTCTATGTGCTATTGCAATTGCTTCTGATTATCTGTGTTTTCAATCTAGAAAAACTTGCTGGTCAAAAACTAAATGTGGCTGAAGTGACACAGTCTGAAATTGGACAGAAACAGAAACTGCAGACTGTCCTGGAAGCCGTCTATGATTTACTTCGACCTCATGGCTGGACGATCAAATGGAGCGTGGACCGTAAGCTTCAGGCTTTGAAAAGAATACTAAGAAAGCTACTGTGCCTTAGTATTTGATTGTCTTTCACTTTGAAGGTCCCAGGGGGTAAAAGATACCCCAAAGGGCAAGAATTGGAAGCATTGAAGCTCTATTGCTGGGCAATATCTCAGTGTTTCAAGATATAAATATGGGGATCCACCTCTTATTTTTATTTCATTCAGTGTTAGGAAAGTATATGAAAACTGTCGTACAATTAATACGGATTAGATGAGGTTGCTTTATTTGCATACATTAGCCGGGCTCTCTTCTTTAGTTTATTGTCATTGCACCTCATACAACAAATTTAAATACCACCTTCAGTGTACATTATGACTATGAAAGTAAACACAGGCACACATCCTTCACGTTCTGTACATTGATTTGAAAACCCCGAATATTGCATTAATATTGCACTATACAGTAGAATTCAAAAGAGCTACTGCCCTGGGATAGAAGCTGTTTTTCAGCCTATTTGTCCTTGTTTTTATTATCCTGTACTGTCTGCCAGATGGTAATAATTCAAAAAAAGGGTGCCCAGGATGAGATGGATTTTTGAGGATGTTTTGAACTTTCTTAAGGCAATGGGAGCTATAAAACTCTTCCAAAGAGGGGAGAGGGCAACCAATGATCTTCTGGGCAATGTTGTTGTTGTTGTTGTTGTTATTATTATTATAACAACAACAACAATAACAACAACATCAAACCAGCAACACATTAAATATGTTTTTCTTGGGATCATGTCAGCTGCAAAGAGTTTCTGTTCAAGCTTAAGGAATATTTTAACGGGTTTCTGACAAGTGTCACACACAGAGGTTTCTTCAGGGGAAAAAAATAGCAAAATCTGCAAAAATGGCAGTGCTGTGTCAGGAAAGTAGCCACACCTTTTTTGCCTGCAGGTACAAAAGGGGTGGGACTTTGTGCCGTTGCACCTGCCATACACCTGAACTTCTGTATTCTGCAAATCACATTCACCTGTGGCTGCATTTTGGGCGCTCAGCAATCCAGTCACATTAATGGCCTTTTGCAGCAGCATCCCACAATCGTGTGACCGTGATTAATAAACTGCTTGGCAAAAAAAGAGAGACACTTCCAGCTTCTAGGAAAAACACCACATAGTGAATAACAGGGCTTAAAGACTCTGGCATTAGCTTTACGGGTGTGGCATTCATTTAACGATCACTGCAGAAAAGGTTGTACAATTGGGTCAGTCGTGTGATGACCTGCTTTAAGACTGTCACAACTTACGACCGTGATTCCCAGGCTCAGTTATGGTCGTAAGTCAAAGACTACCTGTAATGAAGTTTTTAGACCCATTTCCTGACCTGAATGGGCTCGCTCACTCCTCCCTATTTCTGCCTGCATTCTTTATGAATGTTTCCCGTGCCATTCTCGATTTTACTGCATCAGAATGAGAATGAGGAATAGATCCGAGTGTTTTGTTTTGCTTTTAAAACTTATCCAGACCTTTTTAAGAGGCAATGGAGATGTAAAAGCTGGGAAAATGAAAATATTTAGAGCGTCCCCATCACATGTGACTTGGCCAGCTTTCCTAATCTGCAAAGCTCCCCTTCTGCCCACAGTAGCAAAAATAAATATTAGCATGCCTCTGTCCTGATACAGCCTGGCTTTATGCCATTTGCAGCTACCAGGAACTTATGACATTTTATGTCTCAGAATAGTACCTGCAATAAGGGGTATTGCTCAGAGGTGGTATTCAGCAGGTTCTGACCAGTTCTGGAGAACCGGTAGGCCCAAATTTTAAGGACCTCCTAATAGGGAGTTGGGTTGCGTTGCAGAAATGGGCTTGGCTGTAGCAGCAGCAGAAAGGAGCAGCGGAAAGGAGGTCCACAAAGGAGAGATGGAAGAGGCAGAATGGGGCATGTCTTTCTCCGTCCCAAATTTGAGCCAAAGTGAAAAGAAAAGCAGGTTTCTGATTTTGACATAGAGCTTGAACAGAATAAATCTCCTTCCAGTTAGATGTGATTAACAAGGGTGGGAGGAAGCCCCAAAAGATGTAATGAAGGAGAGGCTCTCTTAAGATTTTCCTGGATTTACTTTTGTGTATGACAACTGCAGTGAGATGATTATATGCTCAAAGGGGAAAAGACTCAACTTTACCCACAATAGACAAATGGATGGTGAACAGAACTTGCTGAGATGGTCAATTGGCAGGTTTAATTAAGAGATGATCTAAATTTCATGCTGATTAGAAAACCCTTATTGACTTTGCATGATTCAGAAAAAAAATGAAAGTATGATATATTTTTTTGATGTTTAGGGGAAAAATAGATTTTAGAAAAAAATGTAAGAATGTAAGAATAAGGGAAGAGGTTAATTTACACTTATAACTTGTACAAGACAATCGGAACTCATTTCTTTACAATTTTTTCCTGCACTTTTAGCTTGTTCTTATTTGTTTTTCTTTTCTTCTCTCTTTTTTCTTACTTCTTGTCAGTTTTTATTCTTTTTGAAATGTAGACAGACAGCTAGATATAGATAAATATTGTGTAGATAGACAGATATAGATATAGAAAGATACTGTGTTGATAGACAGACAGACAGGTGTAGATAGATACTGTGTTGACAGACAGACAGACACTGTATATAGACAGATAGAAAGACAGGCAGATAGATAGATATAGATAGATACTCTGTTGATAGACAGATAGAGACAGACAGACAGACAGACATAGATAATCAAAGTTTTCCTGGAGTGGAATTAAACAGGCTTCCACCTGGAAACAGCCCAGTCTGTTCAAATCATCCCATGATGACTTCTTGGTTTCCTTCTTCAGTGATCCATGGCAAGAACCTGGTGTCCATCCTCCACCTGCTGGTGGCTATGGCCATGCATTTCCGGGCTAATATTCGGCTTCCTGAACATGTTTCTGTGCAAGTAGTCGTTGTAAAGGTAGGTTTAGCCAAGAAAGAGTTTTAAGCTTTCCATGCATGTGTTAATTAAGCTATGTAGTACTATACAAAATATAAAAATCAAACCCTCGCTTCAAATAGATTTGTTTAAAAAATCATTTTTAAAATCTAGACAGATGCCAGTAGTTTTGGGACAGTGGTGAATATATATGTAGCTCGGGTGTAATATGAGGATAGAGGTTCGTTCTCCAAGCTTGTGGGTTGGTTTCCGAATTTCGTGACCAGCCTAGCTAACATCTTCAGTGGAATTTAGGTGATGTCATTGTCGATGTTTTTCTGCTTATAAGGGCTTCGTGTGGTCAGTAGGTCAGGTGAGGGTCAGGTGAGGGTTTTGGGACCCTGTTCCTCTAAGTCAGGGATGTCAAACTAGGTTTCATTGAGGGCCACTTCAGGATTATGTTTGATGTCGGGGTCTAGGTGGGCATGGCCATGGTGGGTGTGGCCAGCTCGACATCACTCGTGTTGGGGGTGCCTGTGGAGGCCTGAGTGCTCTGTCAGCGAAAACGGAGTCTCAAACTCCGTTCTCGCTGGCAGAGGATTGTAGGAGGCCATCGCAGCCAAAAATGGCGGCCCTCCCAAGCTCTGTTTTCACTGACAAGAGGGTTGCAGCAGGCCATCGCAGCTGAAAACGGTGCCCGTCCTGAGCTCCATTTTCGCTGGCAGAGGCATAGCAGGCCGGTCCTTTGCTGCTTCCAGAGCAACCCTGCGGGCCTGATCTAAGCACTCCATAGGCCGGATCTGGTCCACGGGCCTTTAATTTGACACCCCTGCTCTAAGTAGTGAGTCACCAATCCACCAACACATTCCTTGTTCTCTTTGGGGCAATTATTTCCACCATTGCAGCTTCACTCTTCACTTTTCTACCACATTTTGTGGACATCCTATCTGTCCGCCTGCTCACCTGTCTGTTTGTCTGCCCATCCCTCTCTCCATCCATCCATCCATCCATCATGCTATGCTAGTTTTGTGTTGGTGAGGTTTGTTCTTTGGACCCTTTCCTCTGCTACATCAGCAGTGCTGCTACAATAAATGGTCTGGGTCAATCTGCAGTTTGTAATGCTTGTACACCAGTGGGGCAGATTAATACCTCTTTCTGCTTTGAAAGTTTGCTTCTTATTTAAAGTTTGTCCAGATGTGGGTGAGATTTTTTTTTTTTTTTTGCTGAAGGCAGAAAAGTGTATCAGATTGTCTCCTGCCTTTTAACGCTTCTATTAATTCTATTGGTTTGAGATAAAGGAGAACTAACTCTTTTCTAATTCTGCTCCTAGTTAGCAAAAATAACACAATCACTTCTTGTAAGATGTCAGTCTTATGTATTCTTCAGTTACTTCTTTCAGCATTTCACTAGTTCTCACTTTGATTTTCTTCCAGAAGCGAGAAGGGTTACTCCAGACGGCCCATGTGACCGAGGAGATCACTACTACAACTGAGTGAGCACCGTGTTTTTACTGCTGTGTGCACAAAGTTGAGCTCTCCATGTTACTTCAGTTTGGTTGGCACATAGAATTATTCTCTGAATGATATTTAAGCTACAGAGGTGGTATACTCTAATTGGTATTGTGGGGAAAATGTTTCTTTTTTGAAATGTTTGAACTGAGACGGAATTTTTGAAAGGATGAAATAAGAATATGCGATGACATTGCAAACCTGACAGATAAAAACTATTAAGTACATGGAATCTGAAGATATGAGAGTTATTTAAAGTCTAAGGAAATAGGTTAAGAAATGAATTGAACATTGATAAAATAAGCTGGAGAAAAGTATTTGAGAAAAACGATAGAAAATATGTAAGATAATGATAAGATATGAAATTACATGTGAAATATGGGTATGTAATTAAAGTCATGTTTGTATATAAATGGGAGAACCTGGAACTATGCTGTTCACTAAAAAAGATATTTTTAAAATGTGGAAAACTGAATAAAACTTCATTAGAAAAAAGAATTATTCTTTGGAATCCGATCAGAAAGTCCCAAAGGTGCTTTTTTCAGGAGGCAACTGGACTTTCTTGTTTTTCTTTGAAGACGTTTCGCTTCTCAACCAAGAAGCTTCTTCAGCTCTGACAGGATGGTGGGGAATGGAAGGATTTATATTCCTTGCAGACAGCTGGCCATTTGCATCCTTTTAGAGGGGCATTGAGGCCACTTGGAGGTTTATCTGTGTCCTCAGGGCCACCTCAGTGATGAATGGTGTGGGAGTAGGAATGGATTTCCAGAGGAAAAGTTGCAGACAACAGGAAGCAGGAGCACTATTGATGTGCTAGGAGATTTTACTTTCAATATTGTGATATTTTGGGGGCAGTGATCTCTCTCTCTGGTCACCCCCACCTGCTGCTTTCAAACTGAAGAGAGTTTGAGGAGCCATTTGTGAAGTGCCAAAAAATGCTGTGGGGAGAGAGGTTTGGGAGGCGGGGGGAATGCTAAAATTTGTTCTAGAATTTTCTGGAACAAATCAGAAAAATGCCCTCAGCAATGTGGACAGCAATTCTGTCTGGCTTGAAAAGCTCTGCAAGGCTAAAAACATCAGAGTATGAAAAGCAGCCTCTTTGCATGATTCCTTAAGAACTATGAACATTAGGAAGCCATTAATTTTTTTTTTAAACTTCTTGTTTCCAGAATGATGATGGGAAGGTTTGGTAAGTAAAAGATTTTAACTTGGAAAATAAAAGTATCTTGAGAGCAAGATGCAAGGAACTGACATTGTGGCTTAAATTGTAGCTTGAACTCTTCAAGCTTAATGATATGAGACATTTATCATTATAAAGTATTAAGCATTTTGTGTCTAAGTTGGTGGTAGTTTTGCTCAGTCCAGTCCAGTTTTCAAGCTGGGGACAAATTTCTGGGCTTCTTAATCAGCATGCTGGCCTACTGGTCTAATCCTGACAAACCTAGGATACTGTATTGACCCAATTGGAAGATAAGGGTTCCTGGAGGGGGTGTGAGAGAGAGAGAGAGAATGTAGTTTTGTGCTTTTTTAAAATTTATTTTTATTTTTAATTATGTGAATACAACAATACCCAACTTATCCTTGTTATACATACATTTTACTTCATCATTTATAATCTTATTAAAATATTTACTAATTAATCTAATCATCACTACTATTTTGACGTTGTCTTCTATTATATAACCATTTATAAAATTTATGTTTTATAATATTTAGATAATATTTGTCTTTTATTTCTAAAGTTAACCTATCAGATTAGGCACACACTATAATTTTGTGCTTTTGTGTGTGAGAATGGTTTGTGTGTCCAAGAGAATGGCTGCTATTTGCAGTTGTAGAATGAATTAATTTGATAAATGGGATGTTACGTTTTACAGGCAATTAAATTTAATCAGTAGTTGTTAATTCAAGTAAACACTTATTTTCCTGGAGTCTGCTGTTTTGTGAGCCTGTGCCTTCTGACACATATCTATGTACACATATCTCTATACACACAATACACATATAGAAGTATAGGCTTACATACAGATAGATGTACACATTTATAAGGAGGAAAAATCCACTGGATTTGGTTGGGAAGCAAGATAGCATAGAAGATTTTTGTCTTGTGTTTATGTTTATTTATTCTCTTAGAAAATAATGTCATTTTAAATTTAAAACCCTTTTCCTTTTAGATAAATATACCATGTCTAGTCATGTTTTCATATTATGCTGTGAATTCTCACTATTTTAACAAACCTTTCTTTTTCTCTTTTAAACCAGAACGAGATGCTTTTGATACACTCTTTGACCATGCTCCAGATAAACTAAGTGTGGTGAAAAAGGTAAGATTGTGTTTAATGAGCCTCTTCATTGCTTTTGTTTACTGCGGGATGCTTGGCTTCCTTGGTGCACTGAAAAAGACCAATTTATGCAACTTAATGAAGAACAGGATAGCTAGACTCCTAGGATGCAGTAGAGGTAGTTGCTGTGGTTCGCCGGCAGCCAGTGCAGACGGCAGCAGAATCGGACAGTGGGGAAGAACGGGGACCAATCAGGAAGTCTGTAGAGGACTTGGACAAGGGTCCTGTGTCCGATGTAGAGATGAGGACAGGACCATCCAAGTGCAGTTTTGAATGCAGGGTCATAAGATTTTTGTGGAATTTAATGGCTGAGAGTAATGGGGTATTTACATTTTTAAATTGTATAGAGATTATTGTATGGTCTGTTGTGTTTAATTTTATTTTTCTTTCAATGGTGTTGTCCAGTTTTACTTGTGGAAGAGCACCTCATTTCGTTGCACCCGCTTGCGAGTGTAATGACAAATAAATTCTTATGTTTTATGTCTTATGTCATTTGGGAATGGTGTCCTGACTCTGAAGCCTCTGGAGTCTGGCAGCAGCGAGGCAGAGGAACAAGGGGAGCCTGTTCCCAGTGCGTGTGTGCGCAGAGCTGCCAGAAGGCGAGAGCAGCTGAAACAAAAGGGGCGACTCGGGAATAAGGTTGGGGGGTGATTGCCCCTCCCATAAGGTATAAAAGTCAGGCCAAGGTGACTAAACCTTTGCAGGAAGCAAAGTAGTTCAACTGGTTCAGAGTCTTCCTTGAAGCTCTTTGTACTTCGATTGGGTTTTTTTTTTTGTACTTCAGTTGGTTTCCTTTCTAGTTCATTTGATCCTTCTGTTTTTGGCAGCACTTCACAGAACTGAAAGGTGTGTGCTTATCTTGGGGGACTGTTTGAGATTAATTCCAGCTGGGAATGAAAACAATTCCCAGCGTTGCAATAAAATAAGTCTTGTTTTTGAAATAAGAGTGTGAGTAATTATGGTTTAGGAAGCCTAGGTCAGAACAGTAGTCCTTGACTTACAGGAGCTTGTTTAGTGACTGTTCAAAGTTACAACAGCACAGACAAATGTGACTTATGACTGTTTTTCACAGTTACGACATGACGCATCCCCATGATGATGAGATCAAAATTCAGATGCTTGGCAACTGGTTCATACTTATGACCATTGCTGTGTCCCAAGGTCCTGTGCTCACCATTTGCGACCTTCTGATGAGTAAAGGCAACCAGGAAACCCAGTTCACTTAACAGCCGGGTTCCTAACTTATCAACTGCAGTGATTCACTTCAACAACTGTGCCAAGAAAGGTTGTAAAATGGGGCAAAGCCCGCTTAACAAATGCCTCACTTAACAGAAATTTTGAGCTCAATTGGGGTTGTAAGTCGAGGACTACCTGTGGATGACTGCCAAGAACTCAGAATCTCGTCCCTTTAGGTTGCTATTTTAAATAGAATAACATTATCCAGGGTTGAGCTCAGCTTTAGAGTAACCTTGTCCTCAGTGCTGTACCTGTTCATGGGAATAAGCATGTGGAATATTATTAAACTTCTTGGGCAGTTGTCTGAAACTTGTTTCAGTTCCCCTAAATTCCAAATATTATAAATTTTGTACAACCCTACAAGGGGTTGTACAAAAGAGGGAGGGGCAGAGTGATGCAAACAGCATTATGGGATCGTGAGGTGAACCCTACCCTTTTTCTATATGCATCACTCTGCCTAAGGTAAAACTTCTGCTCCTTGTAATAAAACTGAGATCTGATGTGCAGGTCCTAGCAAATGAATGGAAGGCTTGAATGAATTGTTTCCCTGAAAATAAGACTGGGTCTTATATTAATTTTCACCCCAAAAGATGCAGTAGGGCTTATTTTCCATCTAGGTCATATTTTGGGGGAAATACGAAACTAAAATGCATCCATCTGGCTGGCAATCTTAACTGGGGCTTATTTTTAGGGTAGGGCTTATATTACGAGAATCCTGGAAAAAGAATCAGGCTAGGGCTTATTTTCTGCTTGGGTCTTATTTTCCAGGAAACACTGTAAATAGTTAAGTTATTTTTTTTTAAATTGAATATTGGTTGGATATTTATTTCTCTAATCACTGTGTTCTTCTCCGTTTTTCAGTCCTTGATCACTTTTGTAAACAAACACTTAAACAAGCTGAATTTGGAGGTGTCGGAATTAGAAAGCCAGGTAAGACATCTAGGAACAATACTGGATATTTATACTCCAGTTATTTGGATCAGTAATAATAGTAAGAAGCTATTGATGGCCCATTTGAAACTAGTTTGGTTACCAGCTTATTTGGTTGCTTATGTCCCCAAATATGGAAGGGAGATTTTCAGAGGAGGTCTTTCCATTTTGGAACTGAACATTACTTTGCTTTTAATCTTTCTGCAAAAAAAAAAAAAAAGCTGGAAAGGTAAGGAGACTATTGAACAGACTATGGGATGCAGTTAGGGTTTTTTTGGTAGAAGTGTGGAAGTGGTTTGCCATGGCCTTTTTGTCAGAATGCTCTTCCACACCCAATAGCTCTCTGCTGTAGGATTTCCTGGTGGTCTCCCATCCAAATTTTAACCAGGCACAATTGTGCTGAGCTACCACCTGATCCCCAACAAAACAAAACAAATCCAGCAGGCATTTGTGTTGCTATTTCACTGTGCATTGTTCCTAACATTCAGTGGAATTTTTTTTACATAAAAAGTTCCAAAGATGAACTGTGTCTCTATGGCGTATGGCAACAAGGTATGAGCCAGCAGTGTCCTGCAGCTGCCAAAAAGGCTAATGCAGTCCTAGGTTGCATTACTTGAGGGATAGTTTCAAGATTGTGATGACCCAGGGTGGGATACAAAACAAACACAGTCACAGAAAACAGGTGAAGCTTTGCTTCCAAGCTTCTTGACAGAAGACAAAAAACTCCCACACAAACAGTTACAAGAAGAAGGAAAAAAGCAACAAAAACCAAGCAAGATAAGGGCTGGAGGACGTCCACAGATAACACACATTGGGAAGGACGCCAAACTCAGAGAGAAACCATAAACTAGAGATATTTCCACACTTTGTTTCTAGCATTCACCAATATGCAGGTCCATCCTCTTATCCAGTTGTTACAGCTGCAGCCCATGAAGAGAATCAAGGCCCTGTCCTCCCGAATAGACCATGTCTCTCCCTTATCCTCTCCTCCCTGTGTGCCCTAGGATGGAGAGGGGATGGGCCTGGGTCCTCCTCTGACTGCCCAGCCGGCCTCTGCTCTTCCCCAGCCTCCTCCACAACCTCCGGAGCCACATTTCCACTCCCCGTCGGCTGTTTCTCCTCTCCCTCAGAGTCAGTCTCCATCAGGGGCATGACAAAGATCATGTGAAGTGATAGTACCACTTTATACCATACTAGTGAGGCTGTCCTTGGAATATTGCATACAGTTCTGGTCGTCACGTTATTAAAAAAAAATTGTGGAGACCCTAAAATGCGTCCAGAGAAGAACAACAAAGATAACAAAGTTTATGGAGGCTAAACTGTATGATGAATGATGGAGAGAACTAGTACGTCTAGGCCAGAGGTCTCCAAACTGGCTAGAGAATTCTGAGAGTTGAAGTCCACAAGTCTTAAAGTTGCCAAGTTTGGGCCCCCCTGGTCTAGTCTAAAGAAGAGAAGGATTAGGGCTGGTATGATAGCAATCTTCCAGTATTTGAGAGGCTGTTGCTGAGAAGAAGGGGTCAACATATCCTCCAAAGCAGTGGTTCCCAACCTTTGCTACTTGGTGGCCCAGTGTTCTGACTCACGCCCTTTTCCGACAAATCAAACACAATTCAAAAAGAACAGAAACCTTGTAATGCTTTTACAAAATAATTAGCTGTGATAAGCACGAGCCTTGCCAAACAGAGCGAGCCTTGCCAAAAGATAACAGACAAGAAATAATTTGCAAAATAAGAATCTTCAAATACAAACTCAGGATACTGGAATGTCCACAAAGCTGTAGTTTCAAAACGTCTTTGCCTTCTGCAAAGAAGGTTAGTGTCAGCTCTGAGATTCAGCTGCCAAGAAAGGAATGGAAGCGGGGTGGAGGAGTTCAAAAGTTCAAGGTTAGGCCGTATGTCGCATTAAAAAATTCCAGTTGCATTTAATTGGTTCTTGTGATTAATGAAGTGTAGAAGTGGGAAGAGAGAAGGTGGATTTTGTGAAACGCGCTGAAAATGACTTTCGCTTTTGGAAATGCCATAGAAGCACCAGAGCTGTTCCTAATAAATCAGCTGGAGATTATACTTGTCTTGGAGTGATTGATTACCATGGAAAATTTCTGGATGCCTAACAGTTTCATAGCTGGCTTTTATCTTGTTGAAGGACAGGCCATTACCTTGCAGCCTTACTCCTGAGTGGCCCGTGCTGATGTAACTGCTCTTTCCTACCAGCAATCCTGCACTCACATGCACTTGGCACAGGCTCCTCGGGAACCTCCTCCTCATTGCTGCCAGCCCCCACAATATCTGAAGGCAGCAGTTCACTGCCTAATGGTCCTGGCTCCTCATCTGAGTCCTCGCTCTCCACAGCCGTCCGCACCTACTGCCGGCTAACCACAACACCCAGCTGGGGAAGGGAGAGAGGTGAACTGGGCCTCATGAGTGGCGGGCCGACACACGCGCGCTCAGTTCCACTTGTGGGAGCGGCAGCCTGGTGAACATTTGTGTGCACGCTGGCCCACCGCTCGTGCGGCCTGGTTCCACATAGACCCTGGCTTGGTAGTGGGCCGCAGCTCATAGGTTGACATCCCCTGATCTAAAGCACCTGAGGGCTGGATCGGAAGTCACGGATGGGAGATCATTAAGAAAAGACCCAACCTAGAACTAAGGAGAAATTTCCTGCCTCCAGAAGTTGTTGTTGGTCCATCCTGGAAATTTTCAAGAAAATGGGACAGCCATTTGGTAGAGGGTCTCCTGCTTGAGCAGCGGGTTGGACTACAAGACCTCTAAGGTTCCTTCTAACCTATTACTCTGTGTTCTAAATCAGGGGTCCCCAACTACCAGTACTGGTCCGTGGATCATTTTTTACCGGGCTGCAAAGCTTGGATGCCGCCATCTTGTTTCGGGTTTTTGGTTGGAAAGTGCTTCTGGGTTTTCAGTTGAAAAGCAGCGTTTGGGTGCTCACGCCTTAGTTACGTCGAAGGGGGGCCTTCGAACAAAGAGCCATCCCGATGGCGGTGGAGTCTTGCGTTACTCAGGTACCGGTCCGTGGAAGAATAAATAATCGTGAAACCGGTCCATGGTTCAAAAAAGGTTGGGGGCCACTGTTCTAAACAAGTACCATTGCACTCTTCTGCCTCTGACAGCTCAAAGGCAAGTTTGGGAGGCTTTGCAACTGGATGCCAGTTGAAATCTGAATGGGAATTGATCAATTCTTGGGGTCACCTGGGAACACTTTGGGAATTCTTCTAGACAATCCTCTAAAGCAGTGTTGGCAAACCTTTTCGGCACCGAGTGCCAAAACGGGAATGCGCGTGGGAGCACCTGAAACCATCAGAGCAGCTCCCTAGTGCAAAACTGAGCTTCCGGTTTCTGGGGCGCACATGCGCACCAGCCAACTGATCTTTGCGCACACATGCACGCCAGAAAACGGAAGACCAGGTGTGGCCAGCACGCGCATAACCAGAAGCTCAGGTGGCCATATTGGCTGGAAGATCTTCAGCCCGGTGAGGTTCTGCTGCCTCTTGATTCTCATCTTCATATCTGGCCCTTTTTCTCAGTTTGCAGATGGCGTCTACCTGGTGCTCCTGATGGGTCTCCTTGAAGATTATTTTGTTCCTCTCCATCACTTCTTCTTAACACCTGAAAGTTTTGATCAGAAGGTGAGCAGTAACCAGATTGGGCATTTTATTTATTTATGAAAATTTATATGACCGCCCAGCTCTATAGAACTGGTCCGAACCGGTAGAATTCCACCCCTGGGTATGTGTGAGAGCGTAGCATTGAAAGAGATCTAAAACTAAATAGTTTTGCCTCAACTAGCAGCAGCACAAACTGATCAGCCTCTTTCTCCAGAGATGCAAATTCTGATTGCTGCACATTGAGAAAGAGATGTTTGCAAACCCTTCTTTTTTAACAAGTCCCAAATAACTCTGTTACATATTGGAGCGGAGGGAATAATGCATTCGTGTCAGAGATTGGGAAACTATGCATTTCTGTACCCAAGGCACTGGGAGATCTTTTGTCACTGCAATAGGAACAATATCATACTGCATTCAGAATGCTCCAGAAAAGGTGAAAATTTGGAATTTCCTTGATGCTGGTGCAATGCCTTGTACGACCAGCAGGAGGCAGCAATCATGAATGAGAACCAAGCAAGAATTGGAAAGTGCAATTAACCTTTAAAAATCACCATTAATTCTAAGAGGGAGAATGCATTTCCTTGTTTATATCGCCCCAACTTACATCGCTATCGGATGGTTTTAACTGAATTGTTTCCTACTGTGCCAATGTAATCCTTAATAAACTAGTTCATTAAAAAGAGCGAGAAAGAGAGAGAAAGAGAAGGAGTTGTAGAAAACTATTGTCCTGTCACAAGGAAAGTTTTTTTGCCACCCACATGCATTTGTAAATGTCATTCATCATCTTCAGTATCATCCTGATTTTCTGTATTTGGGGAAGGGTTCCTTCCAAATTGTGCTTCTGATCTCATTCTGACCTCCAGAGTGATGTAACCGGCCTGCAACAAATTCCTTTTCAATGTGATCCATGTTTACCTGAAGGGAACGCAACCTGGAACGTAAGAGCCCCCCCAGAAAAGTAGACAGGAAAAAAAATTAAGGCAGTTAACTGCCCGGTCCGAGAGTCTGTCTAGTTATGACACGCGTTTCTTTTAAATGGATACAGCTTCAGTTGCATCATTGCTGCCGCCATTTTAACTTTTTTTTTTTAACCACACCCTGCAAACAGATAATAGAGAAATGGAATGCATTTAGGTGAGCCTAAGCCAAGTGTTTTTCAACATTGGGAACATTTTCATTTTAAGATATGTGGACTTCAACTCCTGGAATTGTGTTAAATTTATGTTTGCCAACAAAGAAACAAAGGGTGACTTTTATAGATCTGTTTCAAGCTATTTAGCTCTCATCAGCTAGCCATAGCCTTCTTGGATTTGAACCTGTAGACCAGGTTGCCCTGATTAAAAAAAAAAAACTTAACTCCTAGAATTGCTCAGCCCAGAGAATTCTGGGAGTTGAAGTCCACACATCTTGGCATTCCTAACAGTTGAAAAACACCGGCACAAGTTACAGATAACAGATAATCAGAGTTGGAAGGGACCTTGTAGGTCATCTAGTCCAACCCTCTGCCCAAGCGGGAGACCCTACATCATTTCTGACAGATGGCAGTCCAATCTCTTCTTGAACGTCTCAAGTGATGAAGCTCCCACAACTTCTGAGGGCAACTTCTGTTCCATGGGTTGATTGTTCTCACTGTCAGAAAGTTTCTCCTTATTTCCAGGTTAAATCTCTCCTTGTCCAGTTTCCATCCATTATTCCTTGTCTGGCCTTTGGGTGCTTTGGAAAATAGCTTGACCCCTTCCTCTCTGTGGCAGCCCCTCAGATTTTGGAAGACCGCTATCATGTCTCCCCTGGTCCTTCTCTTTACTAGACTAGCCATGCCCAGTTCCTGTAACCGTTCTTCATGTGTTTTAGTCTCCAGTCCCCTAATCATCCTGGTTGCTCTTCTCTGCACTTTTTCTAGAGTCTCAACAGCTTTTTTATAATGTGGTGAACAAAATTGGATGCAGTACTCTAAGTGGGGTCTTATTAAGGCTTTATAGAGTGGTATTAGTACCTCTCTTGATTGTATCCCACTGTTAATACAACTTAGGATTGCATTAGCTTTTTTGGCTGCTGCTGCACACTGCTGGCTCATATTCAGCTGGTTGTCCACTAAGACCACAAGATCCCTCTCACAGTTACTGCTACTGAGCCTGATTTCACCCAGTCTATATGTTTTTGGTTTTTCTTGCCTAAGTGTGGGACTTTATTTTTCTCTACACTGAATTTCATTTTGTTGGATATGGCCCAGTGTTCTAGTCTGTCAAGATCCATCTGGATCTTGAGCCTATCTTCTTGGGTGTTAGCTATTCCTGCTAGCTTAGTATCATCTGCAAATTTGGTAAGTTCCCCTTCTATTCCCTCATCTAAGTCATTAATGAAGATATTGAAGAGTCCTGGGCCTAAGACGGAACCTTGTGGCATTCCACTGCTTACTTCCTTCCATGTAGACTTAGACCCATTAAGGACTACTCGTTGAGTACGGTTTGCCAGCCAGTTGCGGGTCCATCTAGTGGTGGTGAAGAACATAAGGTTTAGCCTCTCCTTGCCATTGGATGGATTCAGTTCATGAAAGTTGTTGCCTTTTCATAAAATTGGTTACTCAGAAAAGGGGTTAACATCCATTACTAGAATCTAATCACACCTTTATGTTGTCTGATTCCTTCTCCAGGTTCACAATGTCTCCTTTTCTTTTGAGCTGATGCAAGATGCGGGACTCAAGAAACCAAAAGCGCGACCGGAAGGTACTACCTGAAGACCTGGAACTAATGTCCTCAGAAAATAAATTTAGGAGGCTCCGTGTCTGGCCGGAGGAGATGGCCAATGGCTTCTTGCAAACGATAACAGTATCAAACTGTTCCTGACTGCCCTAATGCCACTAGGAATTATAAACCCTAAGCCCATGATGGCAAACCTATGGCTCGCATGCCGGAAGTGGCACGCAGAGCCATTTCTGCTGGCATGAGAGCCTTTGCCTGGAATAGATCCACTGCACATGTGCACACACCTCCCGCCAGCCAGCTGATTGTCGGGTATCTGGTGCGCATGCGTGGGGGGGGGTATTGCATGCGCATAGGTATGCAGCACACAGGGTCACAAACATGTGCAATGGGGGCAGGGGGTGTAATGCGCACATTGCATTATGGGTGCAGGCACACACTTTCGGCACACAATGAAAAGATTACCCATAACTGCCCTAAGCATTACATGTAAACTAAAACTGTGCTATAGGGCAGTTCTCAGACAACACTAACCATATAACCTCACCATAAATGAAATGGAACCCTAAAATATCAAGGTTGTTTACTGTTAAAGTGTACTTCATTCCAATAGGAATATTTAGCTCCACATGTTGAATGCTATCTGTACTCCAAGATTAGATTAGCACTAAAGATAAAACTTTCACTTTAAGGCTGCCCCCAGATTATTTCTTCCCAGAGAACCCTAATCCTAAATTCACTCTAATGCCAATGATAATTTTTACCCTTAACAAATATCCTCGATCCTAGGATAATTCTGAAACTATCACTGGATTTAACTTTGGATCTCGAGATAGACCAAAATTCACCTTGATGCCCAACAGGAAGTTTAATCCATAAACATATAAACCAAAACTAGCACCTAAAGATAAAGACTTTCCCCCTTGCATTTCAAAATCATGTTTTGGTAAAGAAAAGGCACTACATGTTTTCCTTTCGGTTTATCCCTCAGATGTTGTCAACCTGGATCTGAAGTCTACCCTGCGGGTTTTATACAACTTGTTCACAAAGTACAAGAATGCAGAGTGACCGGAAGTTCTCCAGAAACCGCAAGGGATGTCCCAGGAAATGGCTTTCGATTTCCCTTCTTATGTTTTGTTGTCTTTCCAGTCAGTTTCCTAACTTGGTGGCCCTTCAGTTGGGTTGGTAGGCAGCTCCCATTATCTGAAGTGAGTGAAAGTGGTTCAAGAATGAATGCTGTTGTCCAATAATCTAGAACAGGGGTGTCAACCTCTCAAGGCCCGGGGGTGGCATCTGGCCTGTGGGGTACTTAGATTTGGCCCATGGGGCTACCCTGGAAACAGTGAAGGACTGACCTGAAGTGCCTCTGCCAGTGAAAACAGCTCATTTTCGCTAGCAGAGTGTTGCAGGAGGCCATCACAGCCTAATATGGAACTTGGGAGGGCTGCGGGCAGCCTTCCTAAGCTCCATTTTCACTGGCAGAGTGTTTGTTGCAGGAGGCCGTCACAGCCGAAAACAGAGCTTGGGAGACTTTTTTCACTGGGAGAGCTCTCGGGCCATCACAGACACCTCCGATACGAGTGATGTCAAGCTGGCCGTACCCCCCCCGGCCCTCTGAGGTCAAACACAACCCTGATGCAACCCTCAATGAAATTGAGTTTGACACCCATGATCTAGAAGCTAACCAGGTTGGGAATGGCTGGTTTCTGCTTGCTTTTTGTGTTGTAAAAAACCTTCTGTGCTTTAAGCCCTACAGCCTGCCTTTGGAAATGAAATTTCGCTCCCTGGAAAATATCCATGTTCTGTTTCCTTTTTCTGCAGAACTGTTGCCTACAGTCTCCCCTGTTGAGCAATAGTGCCTTATCCCAACAGTGGCGTGTGTGTCACAGACTGGCGAGGCATTGTTGAGAAGAAAGTGCCCTGTCTGGAGCTTGGCATAGGTTTAGTCTGAGCTCCAAATCTCACTTCTGCAGTGAGAGTCTGAACACGCTTGAGTCCAGCAGTGGGATCCTACCTGGTCCACTACTGGTTCGGTGATCGCTCGTGCACCTAACGCATGCGCGCAGCTTTCTACACACCAGCTGAGGCCTGCAATGCCAATCAGCTGAAAGGAGAAAGAAGAGAAAAGACCAGGGGTGGATGGGAAGGCCAACCCTGCGCTTTTCTCTTCTTTCTCCTCTCAGCAGATCTTGGAGGCTTATTTTTTTTTTACTACCGGTTCAGGGGAACCAGTCCAAACCAGTAGCATACCACCACTGCTTGAGTCCCATTACCTTGGTAGTATAATGGAAACAACTCTGACCTTCCTAGCATTGACTTTCCTAGTCATTGTAGGGTTTGTGAAGGGCGAAAGCTTATAGGAATGCTAATTGTGATGTGGCAGCTGGTTTTCAAAAACGTGTTCCGGATGAGAAAGACAGTGATCCATTTGGGATCACTGATTCTGTCTCCTTTTCGCCCTGATTCAGACACATCTAGGCTTCCTTTTCATTTTGGGGGTGGGGTGGTGATGGTGATCCAAGTCTGTTTTCTAAACCTTTGACTGCATTGCTTTCCCTTTTGATATCACCTATCCCATGACTTCACTCCATATATATTGTACATCTCGGATGGCAGAGTTGCCTGTTTGGAATAAAATAATTCATCTTTTCTGATGAAAATTCTGGGTGCGTAGAGTTGTTGGTTCCCCAAAACCCCAGTTTGCAAATGGGGATTCATCCTTAAGACTGAGATTGATGGCCTGCGAAGGAACGGTCATTTTTAATCTTACAATATGCGCTCTTGATAGCCTCAGGAAACAGAGTGGACTCGTAACTCTTGGCAATCTGCAGTTCAAACTTTCTCTTCTTAAAAATAATACTTGGACTTATATACCACTTCATAGTGCTTTACCAGTCCTGTATAAGCGGTTTACAGAGTCAGCCTATTGCCCCTAACAATATGGGTCTTCATTTTACTGACCTCGGAAGGAAGGAAGGCTGACTCAAACTTCAGCCGCTCAGAATAGAATTGGATGAAACATGCACCACAAACGTTCCATAAAGATGCTTCCTGAAGTAAGTCAATAGCAACAGTCTTGCAAGGTAGGCTGGGCTGAGAGAAAGTGACTGTGCCAAAATAATTTTGTATGAGATTTGAACATGGCTTTCCCCACTCTAAAGTCACCCCGTCATACTCCTCTCCTTCAAATAATCCAGAAATGACAAACATTGTTTTGACAATATTTATACTCTCTTGAGGTAGTCTGTCTGGGTAGGTTGGACATGCTACCATCAACATGATCAGTACCCAAAGGAAATTGGATCTTTTCATATTCTGGTTTTCTTTTTTCCTTGCTCCCTGTTCCACAGAAACCAACTTGATCACTTAGATCAACATTTTTCAAACTTAATGGGTGTGCATGTTAACTTCCAGAATTCCTCAGCCAGCAGAACTGGCTGGGGAATTCTAAGAGCTGGAATCCATATATTTTCAAGTTTCTAAGTTTGACGTAGAGCAAGTGCTGGGAATTCTTCTGATTCAGATCCTGGAAAGCTGTTGGGGGCCAATCCTTAAATGAGTATGAAATTCTATAAAGCCCATTTCTGAGAGTGGTATACCATAGGGAAGTGCAGTTTTCTACTTAATTTTTATTTTTTTAAGTGTTTCTTTTATGAAAGGCTTTAAAGAAAGAATATACGTAGAAAATGCGTAAAATGAATAAAATCTAGAATGCAAATAGTGGACCATAGGTAAGCAAATAGAATAGAAAAATTACTATTTTCCAATAACCGATACAATGATCATAAATCTATTTCTTCTAAGAAAAAGAATATCCCTGTTAAAATGCCTGCTTATTGTGGCATAAATCATTAACTTACACGGTAAAATATAATGAAATGAATCAACGCTAGCAATTTAATTTCCCAGAAAGTTGAGTTATAGACTGTGTAAAAAAATCTAATTGGGGGAATAGTACAGAACCACACGTTCAATTATACTCAAGGAATTGTTTCCAATTAGGATTTAATGTTATGTTGAATTTATTTTTTAATTGTATTTGATGCTTTAAAACGGAGTTTATCAGCCTTGGCAATTAAGACATGTGAACCTCAACTCCTAGAATTCCCAAACCAGCATGCCTCTTAAAGTTGCCAAGTTTAAGAAACACTAATTTAAGGAGTTGGAGACCATTTGTCTCTCCCAAAACATCCATTTTCTTCTTATCAAATGTTGGCTTTGGTTCCCAAGTTACTGATACGATCAGAATATCTATGGAGATTCTCAGTCATCCAGGCACCCATGGTTAGCCCAACGGTGCTTTTTTCAAGAGGCAACTAGACTTTCTTGGTTTTTCTTTGAAGACGTTTCGCTTCTCATCCAAGAAGCTTCTTCAGCTCTGACAGGATGGTGGGGATTGGAAGGACAGGCAGCTGGTCATTTGCATTCTTTTAGGGAGTCGTTAAGATCACCTGGAGGTTTATCTGTGTCTTCAGGGTCACCTGAGTAGTGCAAATGAGTGTGGAGATGTCGCATTCCTCCCCCTCTTTGACCTCTCTTTCAAACCAGCTGGTTTGAATGAGGGGTCAAAGAGGCCCAAACTGAGCAGACCTCTCAACAGAGAGGGAGGGATACATCATCGTCCATTTCTAATCTACATCACAGTCCTTTCAACAGTTCCAAGAAGGCTTCACACCTCCACACATTTGCACCACTCAAATGTCCTCACCACCCTGAGGACAGGATAAACCTCCAGGTGACCTTAACGACTCGCTAAAAGAATGCAAATTACCAGCTGTCTGCAAGGAGTATAAATCCTTCCATTCCCCGCCATCCAGTGAAGGTTGAAGAAGCTGTTTGGATGAGAAACGAAAACATCTTCAAAGAAAAACACAAAAGTCCAGTTGCCTCTTGAAAAAAAAAAGAACAAAAGCACCTTTGGGACCCTCTGCTTCCAACTCCATTAATCATCTTGTCCTGCCCTGAGGTGCTTTTCTGAATAGGTTGATCCCCCAACTCTTTTGGCAGACCCTCACATACCAGAAGACAACTATCATTTCACCCTTAATTCTTTTATTCGTTAGGCTGGACATACCTTGTTCTCTTAATCTGTGATGACCCAGGGCTTGGCACAAAGGCAACACAGTCACATAAATAAGAAAAGTCCCTTTAATACCTCCAACTTTGCCCCCAATGTCCAGTTACCTTTGGCTGGAGAAAACACTCCCAAGAACAGTTTTTAAATGAAGGAAATTCAGTCTGAAAACGAAGTACATATAAACTGTAAATAAAAATCCACACAGACCACACTGCAGCAATTAACTGGACAGGGCAGGATGAAGAATGAAAGGCCAACAAAACACACACCGTTGGGAAGACACCAGGAACCCAGATAAGCCTCAACCATAACAGATAACTCACGATTTGCTTCCCAGGAGTTGCTGTGCACAAACTCCCTTTTTAAACACTGTTCCCAGCTGCAGCTAATGAAGGGAATCAGGGCCCTTTCCTCCCCTGTAAGCCACGCAACTCATGTTGCTCCCTTCTACGTTAGTCCCTGCGTTCCCTAGGATGAAGAGTGGGTGGGCCTGGATCTTCCCCTGAATTTCCTCTGCTTTGCTCTACCTCTCCCCTGCTCTGCCCAGCTGGACTTTGCCCTTCCCCAGTTTCTTCCACAGCCACTGGAGCCACACTCCCACTCCCTGTCAGCTGCTCAGCCTCCCCCTCAGAATCAGATTCTGACAGGGGCGTGACATAACCTGTGTTGCACATGTGTTCATTACCATGCCAGTTTTCCTGTTTCCACTCAGCTTAAGACTGTTCCATTTGCTCTGTTTTTCTTGACAGACATGCCCATATCTTGCAGGCGGCTTTCCTCAAATTGAAAGAAAAAACGATAACATTATTTTTCCACATCTCCCTCACTGATGCCTCCGAAGCAGAAGCTCGACCCTCAGCTAATGAAAAGCAAATAAAGTTGTTTTTCCTTCTATCTTTCCTGGATTCAGGCAATGATGGGGTTTTGATCCTCATGTGATGAAGAAGGAGATCTGAATTTAAAGAACAAAAATCTTTTAAATCCACCCAGCCTTTAGAGGGAAATAATCTATCTTTGATGGCAAGGGGGTTTATCTCACATTTTTAGTAAATCTCAACCATCAATTCTAGTTGGAACAGATCTTGGTTTTTTTCCCCGTCTCTTTTCCTTTTACACAAAACTGATTTTCTTTTTGCCTTCCTTTGCTTTTAATTTATTTAAATTAATTTATTTGCATTTTTTGAGGACACAGATAATGAGGCTAGCTGATATCTTGTTGCTGTCCTTTTAAAAAATGTTATATTACCTGGCAATTGATTTGCTTATATCTAATAAAAGATAAGTTGCAATTTGAATAAATTCACCAACTTTTATTATTTGTTTTATGTTGATGAAATAATGAAAAACCATAAGGAATGGAATGGGTACTTTGCTTCTATACTTTTCTGGAACAATATTTCTATCCATGGCAATTTGCATGCTGGCTCTAACTTGAATTGTACTGTAGATGCTGATGAAAAATAGAATGAGGCCCTTCCCCAAATATTTCTCATACAAATATGTGCAAGCAGTTTAAAAAAAACCTAAAATTTCTTGCAGCAACGATAACTTTGCAGATGTACACCAATAGTTAGGGGCAACCAACATCTGTTGTGTCATGCCCCTGGTGGAGACTGACTCTGAGGGAGAGGAGGAACAGCTGACAGGGAGTGGAAGTGTGTCTCCGGAGGTGGTGGAGGAGGCTGGGGAAGAGCAGAGGCCAGCTGGGCAGTCAGAGGAGGACCCAGGCCCATCCCCTCTCCATCCTAGGGCACGCAGGGAGGAGAGGATAAGGGAGAAACATGGTCTACGGGGAAGGAGAGGGCCTTGATCCTCTTCATGGGCTGCAGCTGTGATAACTGAATAAGAGAATGGATGTGCGTACAGGTGAACGCTGGAAACAAAGCATGGAAATAGCTCTAGTTGATGATTTCTCTCTGAATTTGATGTCCTTCCCAGTTTGTGTTATCTGTGGACGTCCTCCAGCCCTTATCTTGCCTGGTTTGTGTTGCTTTTTTCCTTCTTCTTGTAACTGTGTGGGAGTTTTTTGTCTTCTGTCAAGAATAGTCAGAGCTTGGAAGCAAAGCTTCACCTGTTTTCTGTGACTGTTTTGTATCCCACCCTGGGTCATCACATATTGTCCTAAAAGTCAGGATTTCACTCTGAAAATGGGAAGCAGACACATGAACTTCCTTTATCTGCTGTCAAGAAAAATGAAAACCGTATCTTGAGTGAGAAAGGGAACAAGCCAGGAGTGACATTAAAAGTTTGGCTTTGAAAGGCAGAGTGGGTGCTTAGATTTCTATATCAACTTTTTTCTGTTTGTACCTGTTTAAGAGGATGTTGAGCCCAGATGGTGATGTGATTTCCTTCTGATTTTACAAATGTCCAAGCTTCACATTAGAAGCTGAAGAAAACAAGGAAGTTAACATTTTTTTCAGTTGATTGTAACAATACACCCAAACAGTTCATATTTCTTGATGATGTCTGCAAAGGTAAGCACTTAATCTATTTTACAGGGTTCTATAAGCCTAAATCTAATTCTCTTGCTACCCTACCCCACTATTCTTACATCCACATAAATT